AGGGATATCACAACCCCCATGTATAATTCTCCCATACACAAAGCCCCCTCTTTACAAGCCCCCCCCCCCAAATTAATTTTTTTTTCTAGATTTAAGACAATATTTTTTCTAAAATTAAGCATATCTTGGTTTAAAATTAATCCCAAATTTAATCATTAATTTTAAACGATTTTTTTCTAAAATTAGGAAAAAATGCCTAGATTGTAGAAAAGTAAAGGTTTGAAACCACGGTTTCTAAAATAAAGACACTTTTTTTTAAAACGAATCCACTTTTTTTCTCTGTGTATGTTTATATTTCTCCGCTAGCTTGAATTTGCCGTTTAAATTATATGGCCTCTAGCATAGATATTTTCGTCAGAAGATTGCAAAACTCTTTTCTGAGGAGTGTGAGGTTTACAGACCGAGGCGAAGCCGAGGAATGCAATCACCAGACTCGCAAATGTTTTCGGCCAAGTGACGAACATAATTTTTCGTGTCACGGGACCTGAAAAACGGCAATTTGCCGTTTAAATTATATGGCCTCTCGAATAGCTATTTTCGTCAGAACGCTGCAAAACTCTTTTCTGAGGAGTGTGAGGTTTGCAGACCGAGGCGAAGCCGAGGAATGCAATCACCAGACTCGAAAAAGTTTTCGGCCAAGTGACGAACATAATTTTTCGTGTCACGGGACCTGCAGGTCCCTCGACACGAAAATTAATATACACACCTCGCCATGGAAAACATATCACCCTCCCCCACGTGCTTGCCATCATCACTTTCGGCTCGGAAGGCAATCTTGCACGTGGGGGACGGTGATCTGTTTTCCAAGACTCGGGCATGTAATGTATTATTTCTTCACACTGTCCGCAAACAACGTTTTACGGGCAGTGTGATGAAAAAGTTTTTGTCGGTCATGTGACGAACGATACTTTTCAGTCATATGACAAACGATGCATTACGGCCGAAATATCCAAAAATTTTATTTGCGATTACGTCGATTAAAACTGAAAACATATGATGTGACATTAGAACCTAGTAAACAACCCCCTCCCGCCTTTCGTCACAAAGTGTCGCATACCACACACCCTTGCTTATAAGTATGTAAAATCTTCGGAACTTGTCTCTTACATTTACCGTCTTATGTCTGCTCAATCGTGCCTCCGACTACCATGTATATACATGTAATTAAACATTTAATTAAGCAATTATATCTGAATGTATAAAATTTGACCCTGTAACTGACACTATGCTGTTGGGTCTATATACAATAAATCCTATCGTAAAAATAAATAAATAAATTTCGGTGAGATCAATCAATGTTTTCTTTTGAAAAGATACTCAAAAAGAGTCAATCGGGCGTTGACTTTGGGGTAGAAATGATTTTCCGATTACATCTTTAATAATCGTTTGTTTTTTTTATCATAAGTGCTTATTTCACTGGAATTGAATATCTGAAACGTCCTGATATTTCCCTGGATAATTGCATTATTCTACGGAAAATGTTTTCTGATAAGTCACTTGCCTTTGAGAAGTGGTACCAGACGTCCCCAACAGGTAATGGCGCCTTTCCGGTTGAATTGCCCCAAGGCCAGCTCCATGTAGAAAAGCGGGATCCCACCCACCACCAGCATAATGCAATATGGAACCAGGAATGCACCTGTTCAGAACAGGAAAATTGAATGACTTGACCTTTCTTAAACATGAAATAAAACTTTTAACCGACATTGGTTTTGAAAAACACACTAGAGATTCACTGATTAAACTATGCAAATTGTCAAATTGTAATCCGTATGTATACACTGCTTGAGCGTAGGAAAATATTTAATATTGTATAGTTGAAAATATTCTAAATTGACATAGACAAGAGTTTTTGATTTTCGGGAACATGTCGCTGATTTTCAGAAATCTATTACCAATATTGGTGATACTGGATACTTACTAGAATAGCCCTGATTATTAGTGATTTCTATCACTGAAATTTGGTGATAAGTTCCCAAAAATTAGGATGGGTGTAAAATAGTGACGATGTCACTGGAAATTATTAATAATAACATTAAGAATTACAATCACGAATGTGGGGATAAATACCTAAAAACTAGAGATAAATTCTTGAAAATCTGTGACATGTTTCCAAAAATTAGAACTTTTTTCTCCATGTTCATGATGAAATAAAAAAAAATCCGTCCGCAAAACAGCCTCCGAAGCCATCACCGGCATCACCAAACAAAAAGAAAACCAGCGAAGGACCAGGAGTGAATCGACCCACTCGGCAGACCGACAATGGGAAATATTCACACAGAAAAAAGAGGTTATTTTCTAATCGTCACTTTTTGACCCTTATATTCTCAGCTCCATTACTAACAGTCACTTTCTGATCCTCAATTTCTGATATCTATATTCTGACCCTATCTTTTTGGCTGTTATATTCTGATGCTTATTATTTGACGCTTATGTCATAACCCATTATCTGACCCTCATTTTTTTAATCTAACCAACTGACCCTTTCCTATTCGACCTAAGAATGGTCGTAATTTGTTCGAAAATTCTTCGTTAATTACGAATAAGTAAATATAAAATACGAAAAAATCATCCCAATTTGCTAATGCGCAACCGTAAATGACGTTTATGTAATCGTCATTTACGGAGATTTTGAACGTAATTCATGCTGCAACTTCTAGCGTAAAATACGTTCCGGAAAATGAAAAAGAGGGCTTCTTAAATATAGCTTACTTTTAAGTTTTTCTATGTGTTGCACAAGATGTGTTATTCGACTATCGTATAATAACCTATACCTTGACGGGAAATATGGTGATACTATTGAATAAGGGGACAACCCGTGAAACTACAGCTACAAAAAACTACAATCTCCTCAAAAACGAGGCCGAAATGGTCTGCAAAGGGATCTCGACAAAAAAGACCAGAGAAAGATATTAGGTGTACAAATAAGTTTTAGGACACTTTGCAAAAAATTAAAAATTCATTTTCGAAAAAAAGAAAACTACATTTATTCATCAAAATAATCTCCATCATTTTGAATGACCTTTAGCCATCTGTTAGGTAATTCATTAGGAAATTATCGACCCGTTTTTGCACTTCTTCAAATGTTTTGAATCGCACATAACTCAATTTGTTTTGCATCTTCCGAAACAAGTGAAAATCAGTTGGAGCTAAGTCTGATGAATACGCCGGGTGTGGCACAACTTCCCATCCAAGAGCTATTAACGTATCTTTGACCGGTTTACCCACATGAGGCCTGGCGTTGTCATAGAAAAATGTTACTGGACGTTTTCCTTTGCCAGTCAATGAATGTTTTGTCGAATTTCTGGGTTCAATCTTATTAATTGTTGACGACAGCGATCGGCAGTAACTGTCTCGCCAGACTTCCAAAGTTCATAATGCAGTACGCCTTTCATATCCCACCATAATCACAGCATGATCTTCTTACAGTGAATATTGCATTTCGGTGTCAATGTCGCCGGTTCGCCAGGGTTAACCCAATGATATTTGCGTTTCGGATAATGAAAATAAATCCACTTTTCATCGCCGATCGCAACTTTCCACAAAAAAGACTTTCTATGTTGCTTATTGTAAAGATTCGGACATATGTCAAGTCGACTATTTTTATTTTCTTGAGTCAAAAAGTATGGCACCCACTTTGTTCCTTTTCGAATCTTTCCCATTGCGTTTAAGCGATAGGAAACGGTCTGTTGAGTTACTCCAAGCTGTTTTGCAAGTTGTTTTTCCGTCTGGCAAGGGTTTTCATCCAGCAACGCTTGCAGTTCTAGTCATCCACCCTCACAGGAGCCCCGGTACGTTCACGGTCACTAACGTCGACATCACCTTCTTTAAATCGCTTATACCAATATTCACATGTACTTTTAGATACAATGTTGTCCCCAAGAACAGAACAAGTCGATTGACATGCTTTCCTATCAGTTTTTTCTTGATGGAATTCATAGCGAATGCAGTGTCTAATAAATCAGCTTATCGGTCTGCATGTTTTATTCACAGAATTTAAGGTTGTGTTTATGACTCTCTTATGTTTTGATACTACATAACAAACTCCACAATATCATATGTAAGCGGTAATTTTGAGTTACTTTCATGACACGAAATCGAAGTGTCCTAAAACTTATTTGTACACTTAATATATCTACAGGAACTCAGATCATCTCAATCACACTCGGAGTCCTTAGTAGCGATAAAGATCCTGGAGGAACAGGACGAGAGTAGTCCTGTAAATTTACTCGATTGTGTGAGATTCTACAAGCTTTATTATCACTCAAGTAAACGAAGTGATGATATTTTAGGTCCTGGTTACATCAAATGCAATAAATTTACTGTCCGCTAGCTTACGTAAAAAAACAAGTGGGCAATTACTCTTTTTTATAATTTCGTGTAGTCAAATTCAAATTTTCAAATTTTCACCGGTTTTTCGTTGCAAGGGTTAACTTGCCAACGCGGCCATCGCCCGAGGGCCTTCAGCCAGGGAATGTTGAATGTGGAGTGGATTTTTCAGTTGAAAATTCCGTGCAATATTCGGTTTGAAAATTGTGTTGAATTTTCAGTTGAATATTATGTGGAAAATTGTGATGAAAAATTGGTGTGGAATTTTGGCCCGGCCGGGGCTCGAACCTGGGAGCTTGAGGTTGTGAATCTCATGCTGCTACCAAGTGCGCCACACAGCCGGGTTTCGTGTAGTCATTTTTGTTAGTAAATTACTAATTTGCTTTCGAATTTATGTTTTTAATTAGATAAGGATCCTCAGGGATACTGGACCACTGACAGAAAATTGATCATATTTGTTCTGGCTTCCGAATGGAAGCTTTGTAATCGTGATTTTTTTCGATTTTTTTATTTTGGATGAAAATGTCTGCAAATGTCATAAAACGTAAAGAAATGATGTTTTGACAACATATCTGTGTGTGTAGGTATGTGTGCACATGTGTATTCGTATGTTCGTATGTGTGTTCGTATGTTCAACACATTCAGTGTTTCTGATTTGAAAAAAAAGACAAAAAAAACAAAATTACCAATTTTCTGTCAGTGGTCCGCTTTTGCTCTACCCTCCCCTAATTTCCATCATTGAAAATAACTTGTATCAACAAATTTCATGAATTTTCATTATGAAAAAGAGAAATGACTCCATCTTGGATATTAGGAGCTTAAGACAAAAGTGGGCGTAACATCCGAACAAAAGTTAGATCATGGGAGGAGCATAAGGCAACCGAAAAAAGAGTCAATATGCCTAATAAGAAAAGAACACTCCCTCTTGTCCTAATATTTGGTCACCGAAGGGACACGTAAACACCTGTTTCGCCCATTAGAAAAATCAATATAGTTCTCTATGGGTGGTATTGGACAGGGCAGAAACCGAAGGTGCAGAAACAGGTGCCCTATGGAAATAGTGGGATTTTTCCCCAACTGAACTTTCTCTCTCAGAAAAGCCGGAGGCCATGTTGGACATTAACTTCAAAATTGAATTGCCACCCCTGTCCTATCAAATCAATGGATTGACGTAAAAAGTGACAACATTGATTCTTCTAAGCTAGAGTATATTCAAAAACCAATGTGTTCACCACAACCCTTGAGACTTGAACTTCAAAAGGGGGTTTTATACAGCCATTTTCCACACCATCACGTGTTACGTGAATCCGACTTCACTCCAGAAGGGCAGGACCGGGCCAAATACAACACTGAAGACCACCTAACAACTTCGTATTTTCTTGTGAACTTCATGTATAAGAATGACATATTTATGACTTTTTCCTATGCCCGACGACCAACGAATTTCCCAATTAATTGAAGGGGGATCACAGCTCATTGGCTTACGGAGCTCAATCAGTATATAAAGGGATGAATTTGTTCCCTAAGAGTCAGTCTTGACTTATCTGCATTTATCCACACATCAAGTTGCACTGATTCTTCGTAACGACTCATTTCGACTGAGCGATAAGGTCGCACCGGTCAAGTGGACGCTCTTAATCGAGATTTGGCTATAACCTCTTACGTTGATCATCGCAATCCTGTGGACTACTCTCTGTCTTTCACTGATCAGGTAAAAGAGTTAATTTCTTCAAATCCACAGTTAATTCCCCGAGTATCTTGTCAGCTTTCTGCGAGGTCTTCAGTGTCATTCAATTCATCATCAAGGTCCTTTGACTCCTCGAAGCTATTCTTCCTGCCTGAACTTCAAGGCTTCACCGAACAAGTGAGCCTCGAGGACCAGTATTTGCCTGTTAATCTACACATTGAATGCAAGGGAGATCCTAAATCTATAAAATTTACCAACAAAGTTCCTCTGTACCAAGTCTAAATTTATCTACGAGTGCAGTTGCCAGAGTTACGAAATTCCTATCACTAAATAGTACATTATCGCCGTGTGACATAAAAAATATTTTTGAGGGTTATTCACTTAATTACCAATTCCAACTCCTACGCAGGACAATGCATCGTATACTTTGGTGTTTGATCCCACACAATTAGATCCCAACTATAAAAATTACTGTTTCCATTCATCGGTTACTACCTGTTTTAATTAGTTACGGTGCAGTCGACTCAAGGGGTCACCTTTTATCTACTATTTTGAGTCACCTAACAACTTAGTGTCCGCAACAGCCCTAATAATCATATACGTGTCCCACAACCGACCATAATCATGAAAAGGTATTGAAGAGGGAGCTTTTTGAAGAGGAAAGTTCCTCTTCAGTTTTTGGATCAGACAATTTTTTTTGTCTGACTCTTTTTTTCATTTTGGATGTGACTACTTTTTCAGGGCCGAATTTTATTTTTAAAAAAGGGGTCCTAATTTTTTTTACCCATTTTTTTGGGGTGGAATATTGACCCACGTCAACCACACTCCGCTTATTGCCCTCTCGCGCCCAAAATTATTTCGAAAATCCAAAAAGGACATGAGAAAATGAGATATAATTTTTCGTTTTTTGGGAATTTTTTTCATGCGGTCTGTTGGGTCTGTTGCCAACCTACCAACCTGTTGACATTGAAACGCTCCATTATCACCCCCTCGCCGACCAAATAATTTTCAAAAATCAAAAAAAATTATTTGAGAATGTTTTTTTTTCTCTCCCCATGAGGCCTATCAGGGCTGTTAAACCAATATATCGACATTCAAACTCTCCCCCAATGCCCTCTAGCCCGCCAAATCATTTTCAAAATCCCGATTGGAAATTGGAAAATGGATTATTATAATTTCTTTCGTTTTTCTTGCGTTTTTTTTACGTGGTCTGTAGGGTCTGTTACCAATCTACCAACCTGTCAAAATTGAAATTCTCCATAATCAGTCCCTCGCCCACCAAACCATTTTCAAAATCCCGATTGGAAATTGGAAAATGGATTATTATAATTTCTTTCGTTTTTCTTGCGTTTTTTTTACGTGGTCTGTAGGGTCTGTTACCAATCTACCAACCTGTCAAAATTGAAATTCTCCATAATCAGTCCCTCGCCCACCAAACCATTTTCAAAATCCCGATTGGAAATTGGAAAATGGATTATTATAATTTCTTTCGTTTTTCTTGCGTTTTTTTTACGTGGTCTGTAGGGTCTGTTACCAATCTACCAACCTGTCAAAATTGAAATTCTCCATAATCAGTCCCTCGCCCACCAAACCATTTTCAAAATCCCGATTGGGAATTAGACAATGAAATATAATTGTTTTTTCGTTTTTCTTGCGTTTTTTTACGTGGTCGGTTGGGTCTGTTACCAACCTATCAGCCTGTCAAAATTAAAACGCTCCATAATCAGCCCTTCACCCGGCAAATAATTTTGAAAATTCAAAAAAAAATATTTGAAAATGTTTTTTCATCTCGTTATATCGCCTATCAAGTCTCTTACCAACCTATCGACTTTAAAACGCTCCCCCAATGCCCTCTCGCCCGCCAAATCATTTTCAAAATCCCAATTGGAAATTAGAAAATGAAATTTTTTTTTGTTTTTCTTCTGTCTTTTGGACGTGGTCTGTTGGGTGTGTTACCACACTAACAACCTGTCAAAATTAAAACGCTCCATAATCAGCCCCTGGCCCGCCAAATCATTTTCAAAGTCCTGATTGGAAATTAGAAATTGAAATATTATTTTTTTGTCGTTTTTCTTGCGTTTTTTTTACGTGGACAGTTGGGTCTGTTGCCACGCTACCAACCTGTCAAAATTAAAACGCTCCATAATCAGCCCCTGGCCCGCCAAATCATTTTCAAAGTCCTGATTGGAAATTAGAAATTGAAATATTATTTTTTTGTCGTTTTTCTTGCGTTTTTTTTACGTGGACAGTTGGGTCTGTTGCCACGCTACCAACCTGTCAAAATTAAAACGCTCCATAATCAGCCCCTGGCCCGCCAAATCATTTTCAAAGTCCTGATTGGAAATTAGAAATTGAAATATTATTTTTTTGTCGTTTTTCTTGCGTTTTTTTTACGTGGACAGTTGGGTCTGTTGCCACGCTACCAACCTGTCAAAATTAAAACGCTCCATAATCAGCCCCTGGCCCGCCAAATCATTTTCAAAGTCCTGATTGGAAATTAGAAATTGAAATATTATTTTTTTGTCGTTTTTCTTGCGTTTTTTTTACGTGGACAGTTGGGTCTGTTGCCACGCTACCAACCTGTCAAAATTAAAACGCTCCATAATCAGCCCCTCACCCGGCAAATAATTTTGAAAATCCCAAAAAAATAGATGAAAATGTTTTTTCTTCTCGTTATGTTGCCTCTCAAGTCTGTTACCAACCTATGGACATTAAAACGCTCCCCCAATGCCCTCTCGCCCGCCCAATCATTTTCAAAAACCGAAGAATCGAATGGGAAAATGGAGTGATATGGAATGCGTCTTTCGATTCTGAAACGAAAAAAAAATGAAAATATGATTATTTTTCCTGTCGTATGGCGTATGTTTGTTGGTGTGTACAAAATGGAGCGTTTTAATTTTGACAGGTTGGTAGCGTGGCAACAGACCCAACTGACCACGTAAAAAAACGCAAGAAAAACGACAAAAAAATAATATTTCATTTTCTAATTTCCAATCAGGACTTTGAAAATTATTTAGCGGGCCAGGGGCTGATTATGGAGCGTTTTAATTTTGACAGGTTGGTAGCGTGGCAACAGACCCAACTGACCACGTAAAAAAACGCAAGAAAAACGACAAAAAAATAATATTTCATTTTCTAATTTCCAATCAGGACTTTGAAAATTATTTAGCGGGCCAGGGGCTGATTATGGAGCGTTTTAATTTTGACAGGTTGGTAGCGTGGCAACAGACCCAACTGACCACGTAAAAAAACGCAAGAAAAACGACAAAAAAATAATATTTCATTTTCTAATTTCCAATCAGGACTTTGAAAATTATTTAGCGGGCCAGGGGCTGATTATGGAGCGTTTTAATTTTGACAGGTTGGTAGCGTGGTAACACACCCAACAGACCACGTCAAAAAAACAGAAGAAAAACAAAAAAAAATAATATTTCATTTTCTAATTTCCAATCAGGACTTTGAAAATTATTTAGCGGGCCAGGGGCTGATTATGGAGCGTTTTAATTTTGACAGGTTGGTAGCGTGGTAACACACCCAACAGACCACGTCAAAAAAACAGAAGAAAAACAAAAAAAAATAATATTTCATTTTCGAATTTCCAATCGGGATTTTGAAAATGATTTGGTGGGCGAGGGACTAATTATGGAGAATTTTAATGTTGACAGGTTGGTGGGTTGGTAACAGACCCAACAGACCATGAAAAAAAACGCAAGAAAAACGAAAAAAAAAATAATAATCCATTTTCTAATTTCCAATCGGGATTTTGAAAATGATTTGGCGGGCTAGAGAGCATTGGGAGAGTTTGAATGTCGATATGTTGGTGTAACAGCCCTGATAGGCCTCATGGAGAGAGAAAAAAAAACATTCTCAAATAATTTTTTTGGATTTTTGAAAATTATTTGGTCGGCGAGGGGGTGATAATGGAGCGTTTCAATGTCAACAGGTTGGTAGGTTGGCAACAGACCCAACAGACCGCATGAAAAAAATTCCCAAAAAACAAAAAATTATAATCTCATTTTCTCATTTTCTTTTTGGATTTTCAAAATAATTTTGGGCGCGAGAGGGCAATAAGTGGAGTGTGGTTGACGTGGGTCAATATTCCACCCGAAAAATGGGTAAAGAAAATTAGGACCCCTTTTTTGAAAATAAAATTCGGCCCTGAAAAAGTAGTCACATCCAAAATAAAAAAAAGAGTCAGACAAAAAAAATGGTCTGATCCAAAAACTGAAGAGGAACTTCCCTCTTCAAAAAGCTCCCACTTCAATACCTTTTCAGGATTATGGTCGGTTGTGGGACACCCTGTATAAACGATTTTTATCACTGATATTTGGTGGTAGATTCCTAAAAATTTGAAATGGGTCCCTGAAAATCAGTGACATTTGCCTAAGACTTATTGATGATGTTACTGGAAATTAGTGATAATGTTACTGGAAATTAGTGATGTCACTAAAAAATAGGAAAAAAAATCACGGAATTCCAGAATTTTGTACTTGTTGCGTTTCATCATCGCGAATCCTCCGAAATTGGGAATGGATTGTTAACAATTGAGGATGGGTCCCTGAAAATGAATAAAATGTCCGTAAAAATGAAAACTTTTTTCTTTGCGCCCGTCCGGTGTAACTCAATCCATCTATATTCTGTGACTTACTTCACATCAAGTCGTACTTAATTCAAGTAGATTCTGCGTTTCGGATCAATTCTCAAGTCAACTTCAATAAAATATCAATTCGATTTGCATCAAGTCGCATTCTACTACGTAAAAATGGTAGATGTTTCAGCGTGAAGTCATCTGTTGGTTTCAGTCGAATCAAGTAGGTCACGAATTGAAACGTTTCTTTTTCAAATAATCCGCTTTTCCTCACAGCAAGCCCGAAATCCAGATTGATTAAGTCACTCAGAGTCGAAGTCATTCGAAAACTACTTGAATCATTACTAGTCTTTTTTTTGACTGAAGTCTTGAGACAATTGAATTACATGATTGCTTGATTATTTAAGAAGTTGTAGACATTGAAAAAGTCAGAAGGGGTCATCCTTTACGATAATCACAGTGTTGCGGATACCGCAGTTAATTACCTGTAATATTAAATCTCGAATATATACAGAGTAAAAATCTCCAAAGTCAACTACATATGAGCCAAAGGAAAAGACTTGTTCGGTCTCACCTACGGACCCCTATTAGTGTAGAAGGTCCTATCCCACTAACACCACTCGAATGGGCATCAGTGTAACGGGAGGGACCTGGTATCGTAGAACTCTAGTAAAAAGCCCCAATGAAAAGGAAGGTGGTGACAGGCCCTCTTGTAAGCGAGCGAAGGAGGCGACAGATGTAGGTATTTGATGACCAAAAACGGAGAATTTTGACAAAACCACTATACAAGGCACTAACGAAAAAGAACAGAGACGCTGAGGGAAAAACAGAAAAGCTGCAATTTATCTAAATCTCCTCCGTTTTTGTTCACTCCGAGTCAAAAATGCATCTTATTAAATCAAATAGACTTCCAAAACTAATAAAAGGCTGGTTTAATCTCTCACGTACGGACAAAATCAAAAGGCAGGCAATACCTCTGAATTATCTAGCTATTTAACATTTTTAAGGGAACTTATTACCCAGCTATTTTACATTTTTAACGGAACTTTTGGGTCATCTTAACCAGGACACCCTCCACACCTTCGGTAAGATGATGCAAAGAAATTCGTATATAAGAGAACGATTTTGGACATTTTTATTAATTCTAAAACTAAATTTTGTGACGGTCACTTCGCACCTGACGCACAGAACAGAATATAAAACTTTAAAAAAACAGAATGTAAAGCTCCAAAAAAAAATATGGCTCATAATTTAATAAAACCAATTGCATTTGGAAGAGCATGGAAAAATGCAGAATACCTATTTTTGGATTTTCCCCGGAACTGAAGTTTTCTGGGGTGAAAAAAATAATTTCTCGGAAATATCACCCATCACAGTGGTGAAGTTATTTATTCATTCCATCGAAGGAGAAATTAGCTTGTGAGCGATTATGACAATCACAATTGATAGTGCCTCTGGGGGTTAAAATTTGAAGGGGGGGTAAACTACGCCTGTGAAAATATTTTTTAAAAAATTATAGGTCAGGATTTCATGAAAATGATTGCATTGGGAAGAACATGGAAAAATGCGGAATACCTTTTTTTTATTTTCCCGGGCACTCAAATTTTCTGGGGTAGAAGAAATAATTTCTGGTAGAACTGTGAGTTGTCCAAATGATTTAGTATTTATTGTAGAAACTCATTCCATACATCTCAATCGAGCCTTTACTTTTTTGGCATTTTCCTGTGGTTGTGCATATACCTATATATTTTATTATGGATTATAATCGGTACAGAAATGATATTCATAAAAAAAATGGTGCAGGCAGAGAGACTTTCTGCACCACGAGCATCTAACTACTGCAACATTAGAACAACCATCAACGTCACATTGTGGATTAGAAGATTGTCCAAATGCAAAATCAACAGGATTATCAAATTCCTCTGGTTTTTTTTAGCAATGTAGCCACTTTGGAACCAAGCATAACAAAATAGATTTTGATACCTTGGTGACGATAATTGATTATGAACTAGAGATTGCAATTTTATTACATTATTTCGTGCATGTAAATTGATGTTATGATTCAAGAGAACGACCGTATCTGAAAAATGATGGATATATATTTTTCCAAATTCTGAAACCGTATACATCAAGAGGGTGAATTTTCCCGGTCGTCCTTTTCGGAATCAGCATAGTTAATAATTCTTTATTCCGAGGAGTTACTTCTTCTACCACTCGAGAGCAATGTCCACTCCATGAATCGATCAACAGTAGATTTTTTGGTCCCACGTGTGGAAAGAATACTTCTTCCAACCAAATTTTGAAGTGCTCTGGAATGTTTGGAATACGATGAACATTGCAATCAGTGTAAATAACTTGTCAGATCTTGTTATACATTAAAAATATCATCTTACCAAAAGTCAGTTTTTCCGATTTTGAAGCCGTTACATAAATATTTGAAGGTCTGAATAGATTCTTCTGGACCCTTGAGCCAAAAGTTCCGGAGGGTTCCTTGTAAACAATGAAAAGAGGTGACAATAATTTTGCATCAGCAGATATCGTGGGTTGTATCGTATAACTGTGTGTCGTTGATGTTATAGATTGTACAATGTACGAGACTTCTTTAGACCCCCCGTCCGCCAAAGTTCGGCCCGAATGCGTTTGCAATTGAAAACCACTTTCATCAGAATTATAGACGTTTTGCGAGCCATACATTTCAAAATATGGTTTGATTTTTTGCACGGATGCATGCGCTGTTTTTTGTAAATCTTCTTCATTTTCCATTGTTTTACGCGTCACGAATTTGGTCATCTTGCGAGATGTAATACGATGAGCTCTTTTGAAGTAATGCAGCCACCACGGGAGGCCTTGAAACGAATACCCTCATTTCCAATATCTTTCTGGGCTTGCGGAACCCATCTTCGTAGGTCTGCATCATGAACAATTAACCCCTCATCAATAGCATTCTTCATACTTTTCAATGTATACTCTGATCTATGCTTTAACTTCTCCATATAAGTTTCTCCTTTAGTGATTTGATGCGCCCAGTGACGTAATTGTTGGAGGGATTTCACTTTGTTGAATCTATTAAAAACGGTTTTTATAGACAAATTTTGTTTGGTTTTCGCACTCCTCCAGAATTCAACTGCTTTTTTTTATATTCACTAGCGCCGCCGCGGCCGCAAGCGACCGTGACGTTGATGCTCTTTTATTATGCCTTTTTTTATTGTTCCTTTTAATAATTAATGATTTATTATCATTTCATTATGCTGAGTGTTAACACGCACGAAAAAAATTCATAGAAATTC